AAAAAAAAAAAATTATCATACATAGATTAAATATTTTATTGTATTAAAAATTAAACTTCTTAATTGTTATAAAAAGACTTAAACAAGGAATGAAAAAGGGAAAATTATTATTTTCTAAATATTATGTGATTTTTTTTTTATTATAATTTTTATTTGTTTTATAAAGAGTTAAAATTATACTTATAAACTATAGTTAAAACTTATAAATGTATAACTTAAATTAATAAGTTATAATTTATTATTAACTAACAAGAAAGAAAAGTGTTCATTTTAAATTTTTAACTTGGTTATTTAATATTTAATATTTATTATTTATGTAAAACTGTGTTAACTCTATTTGTATTAAATATTAATTGTATAATATAATTAAATAATTAATAATTATTTAATATTTAATATTTATTAATTATTTAATTTAGTCATTATATAATATATTAATATATAATATTAATTATTACAGTAGTATACCACTTAGTACTTATCGGTAAATATTATCGGGTATTTTATAATATCAGTTATCGGATTTTAATAATATTTTTCTCACAACAAGGATTATGATATAAAACTATTAATATAATACTTCCTAGTATAATGCAATTGATTTGTTTAAATGTAATTCCTCGTTATCTGCGGGGGTTACGTTCCAGCAAAGTTACGTGAATAAAGAGACCATAAAGTAATGTAAATAGGAATAAGAGATTTAATTTACATTGTATTTAATTTTAAACATTACATTAAGGTTAATATTCTTTATAGTTATGCATTTGATTAATTATTATTTTTCATTAAACATGATCTATTATGAATTTATTAATTATCTATCATGCATATATTATGAAAGATGAAAATACCAATAAACAAATTAACAATATAAGAAAATAAAAGTCATAATATAATCTTTATCTATGCGTACAGTATATTTAAACATAGTTTAATAATTATACTTAACGATATAACAACAATTATTTAAAATTATCTAAAATCTATTATTTACAAAGTCATATAACACAGATAAAATGTTATCGCTGACTTAACTGCAGATAATGAGGGATTACTATACTGTACTGAAATATTATAAATATATTGTTATRCAAATAATAGTTGCTTTATAATATGTAATATTTATAATTCATGTATGATGTAATATGATATTTAATCAATTTATGAAATGTAAAAATACCAAAAACTGTATATTTAAGACACAGTTATAATAACATAAAGGGTATTAAATTYGGTATTCAATAAAATCAACACTAGTAAATATAACATCAAAAAATCATAATGAATAGACACAATAGTTTATAGTTCAGCGGTTCAGCCAACAAAAAATAGGCCTATAATTACCTATTAGCTWTTTCTAGGTATGTTTTTACATAACGTAATTGCATACAATTTTATATAATATATAACATTGTACAATATTACATACCTTTAAAATTGATGAGTAACTTGTAATAGATGGTGATGCAATAGTCTTTTCAACTAAAGGAGTATTGAGTATTTCTAATACTTGTTTTTCAATTGGTTTTACAATTTCATTATCAGCTCTTGGAGTACTTAATAAATTGTCATCTATTTTTCTGCGTTTTTCATTATGTTTCATATTGTCTATAGGTGACCGCTTCCTTGTATTATTATTTGCTGGTAAGAAAAGATCACTAAACAAAACAATTTAAATTAATATAATACATAATACATATAATTTAAATAATAATAATAAATAATTGTTTACATTGAATTTGATTGTGTAAAAGATCCACTCTTCCTTTTTAATAAACAATTTGCTTTATTCCTATCCATTATAATCATTTTACTTTCATTGTTCATACATTTCACGACAACATCTAAAAATAATTAATTATGGTGAATAAAACTTTTCATAGTAGGTTGTGTAAAAACAATAACAGAGCAGAATTTGACTGCACAATAACTAACTTGGTTTTTTATATACACTTTGAATAGGAAGACGACCATTATTGTTTTTCATAATATTAGGAATATGTTTTTCAAATCCATCAACTAAAAGACTAGTAATTGCCAGTGCATCATTATTATTTGATTTAAGTCTAGCTTTTAATGTTTGATTTAATTTGATAGCTTCCTTATGWCTAAAAAAAAGTATTCTTAAAATGTAATTGGATAGTTACATACATGTACATTTTTCATAAATAGATCTAGCTAATAGTGTACATGCAAACATAATCAATTATACCATAAATGTTTAAATAAAATTTGGTAGTCCACAGGAATATACATATTTCAAATTAACAAATAAGGTAAAATTATCATATTATCATAAAATATTGTATTGGATACATTTGAATTATATTTATACTGWATGTTTTAATAGAAATTTAATACAATTTTTTTAGGTATATTCTTATTGCCRTGTGAAGTGTGAATACTGCATTGTTTGTCTAACCATAATAAACACTGACAAACATTACAAAAACATTCTATAAAGAGAAACATAAATATTAACTAATACATTTTTAAATTATTTATTTTCTATGTTATTTGGTTTTTTAAATTTTCAAATAAAAAACGTTGTAAAAATTATAAAAGGTAGATAAAAATGAATTACACAGCTATTAAAATTAATATTTAATAATATATATATATATATATGTATATTTTAAATAATAAATTAATAATTAGTAAATGAAGTTTAGTATACATGGTCATTTGTTTAATCAACATGAAAAGTATATTACATCATTAGGTGCATGATAATGTTGAATAGATAATTACAAACAAAATAGAATAGGTTTAATACAATATTTTAAGATGTTTTAAAATCTCATTAAACAAAAAAAATACATTTTTATTTAATTCAACTTACCTTCCTCGCTGTAACAAAAATATTAATTGAAAAGTTAATGTTTCAGTATCATCAAACTTTTTCAAATACGACAAAAATAATTCTGCTTCCTCCTTATCCCACAGATACTCCATCAGACATTTTAATCTCTTTGTTTCTTTACATCCTAATGATAAATAAAAGAACATTATTAAGAAGATTTTAATTAAATTATACTTTGAAAACATACGGTCAAAGAAATATTCAAACAAAGTTTGTTTTTCTTTAGGGGATCTGGCTCGTAAATACATTAAAGTATCAAAATATTGGTTGTTCATGATTTGCAAGTTAACATAAAACCTGAAATAAGAAAATAATAGAACTAGTCAATACTACACTAATTTGTTTATATAATTTTAAATTCAAACATATCATAAAATAAATTGCATTTATTTTAATATACATAATTGATTTGATTATTGATTTTTTTTTTTTTTTGGAATACACCTTATATTCTCTACCCAGGTATTTTGGTGGTCATTCTTAAATTCAAAATCAAGTATGTTTTATTTTGAAAATTGTGTTTATGTTGTGTCACATCCACACCATAGATAATATCAAAATGGATACTCCTAAGTACGTTATATTAACAAAAAAGGGGGCCACACTCCAGAATGTGTATTAGAGAGGCAGCTTTTTTATAGTGCACTCACACCAGTAAGAGGTTTTAAAATTTATTTTATTTTTTACATAATTCATAAGTGTAGTTTAAAACGGCCTGATTAATAATCCAACTGACAAAAAATTAGAGAAAGACCTCACATATTCTAATCAACATACTTAAAAGTCCTAATGCGCATCCTTTCATCCCCAAAAATTAAAAAAAAACTATACTTAACTGTATCTTGTTAAAACTTGAGTATCATATATGGTAAATTTTGATGGTTTATTWTGTTTTGTCTTAATTTGTATTCATAGGTCAACAATTTATATTATATTAATATAAATATAATATTAATTTATATAATATATAACAGAGATACGGTAGATTTTACCCCTTTTTGGGGATAGAGTTACGCTMAGGGGATATGTGTCAGGAGTTTTATAACATCAAGTAGAATAGTACACTCTGTGAGTGTACCAAAATTCGGGGATTTTGGAGAATTATTTAGAATCTTTGATTATATTTAATTTATATTTGACTGAACTATTTTAAATTCTTAGAAATTTATATATTGATATTTCATGGCAATAAGTTTATATATTTATATACAATTTTAATAAAAGTAAATATTTTGTGCTTATATAATAATTGTTAAATAAATAGAAAATAGGTAGTTCAAGTAATAATAAAATAAAAAATAACAAAATATGAAACAATTTTAGAATTAACTTCAGGTATAATAAAGAACTAGATTTTTATGAACTTAATATCTTACTTGTGATCATCAATATTGACTAAGCTAATATTAGTGAGTTGCATGTAAAACCGTGCCCAAAAATATTGCTCTTTAAACACAAGTAATTTCAAGACAGTCCAGTGATACCAATCCCAAGATTTATCATTAACCATCCATTCATTGCTGCTGGCCATGATATCCATAGCTTCCTAAGAAAAAAWAAWAAATAAATTACACACAAATAAAATTAAATATGAAAATAATATATAATAAAAGTGAGAATAAAATTTACTTCAAACATGTCGTGATCTAATAACCAGCTAGCACGACATAGTGTATTCAATCCTTTATTTTCAATATCGAATTCAACAGCAAAATTACACATACGATTTGCTGTTATTAAATCAATTCTAAAAACAGGTTATGTTAAATTATGTTTAAATTTAGTAAATATATGTAAGCAAAAAATAATTTTAAAATATTAAAACTAACTCTTGTGATGAACAGACATCAATCAAAAAATAAATTGTGATAAAATCTTTGACTTGGTTAGAAAGTGCAGCATTCAAATAAATTCTTAGTAGGCATTGAACATTAGATGGCGGATATAAGCCTTTTGTTTCTTCACCACCTTCATGTAGCCATTGCTCAATCAATTTATTTCCTTTAGGTTCATTAGACACAAATGCGTCAATAAGATACAATGACAAACCTCCAAATTCCTTTCGACTGAAAATATATTAATGTCCATTTATTTTTTAATTGTAAATATTTATGAGGACTCTACACCCGCATGTATTGTCTTCGTTTTACAAGTGTGTAACATAGCAAATTTTGCGCTCAGCAAATCACGTTTAGCTCGGTTAGTTTAAAATTTAGAGTGAATTATAAATCTTATAAACTCTTATAAAAATCAAAGGTAACATTATTTTCAAGGGTTTCTCATAGGCTTTTAATTATATTTTAATTTTAAACCAAGTTATGAGTATTTTAAGATATACAAACAATTTAGAATTAAATATAATAAAAAGCTTATAAAAAGCCTATGAGATAATAATGTTATCTTTAATTTTTATAAGAGGACAATTCGCCATAAATTTYATACTAACAGAGCTAAACGTGATCTGCTGAGCGTAAAATTTACTATGTCACTCACTTGTAAGACAAAGACAACACATACAGGTGTAACGTCTTCTTAAGATTTAATTACTAACCGTTTAATAGCATATTGAATAAGAGACGAAAAATCACACTGTATGATTTTATGAGTAGGATCTTCTTCATTCGATTCCGGTAAAAGTCCATAGTAAATAAAACATGTTACTGCTTTAAAATACTGAGTAACCAAACTTAGTGTATACACACGATAAGAATAATCAACTAAAATAAGAAAATAAATATTTAATTAGGTTAATTTTTTTCACTTGTTAAATAATATTATCATTAAAAATAAAAAGATAACATCAGATATTAAAAAAACATAGTAAAGAATCAAACATTTTATACCAATATTCATAAATATAAAATAGTAAATAAGCTTTGTTGATTATATTTACCATTTATTATATGAATACCATAAGAATTATGCAAATCTTCCAGGAAATGTTTTACACACAGCATTTGAGATAAACAATGATTTAATACTCTTTCATTTTTTTTACCCAATTGAGTACCAGAATAGTCAAATAAAGGAACACCTAAACAGATTATATTTTTAAAGAGATAAAATAAATGATATTTAACATATTAGACATTTACATAATTTGTCAGCATATTGTTTAACAACCATGACGTGCTTCCAAAGACATTGAACTAAATGTAAAATTGTTGCTTCACTAGATGCATAAGTACCATTTTTCCATTCTTCAGCACACGCACTAAGAACTGACATAATTTTGTTTTCTACTATAATTGATATCACAAAACTTCTTTGATCAGGCTGAAAAAATTTAATTCACATAAGATTATAATTTAAGTTTAATTCAAAATACACATTCTAAATGAACAAAATGAAAGTAACATATTTTTATTTTTACCAGACTGTAATTTGCATAATCATCTGTTTTATCCCAAAAGAAAGGTCTTAAATTTGTCTGTAAACACTGGCTGAATATTAAACTTGGATTAATTAATAGTCTCCAATTTTTTAAAAGCAATTGATCCAAAATTTCTTGCTGAACACCAGCATGTTTAAATCTAATAATTTCGGTATCTAATAAGCAATCACATTCTGGGGAAAAATTTTAAAAGTATACTTAGGAGAACTTTCAGCAATGAAGTACTGTAATTTAAATACTGTAATGTTGTTACCAAAATATATTGAAGATGGATAATAGAGTTCTTCAACATTATTTCTAAAATTGTAACCAAATGGGCGCAATGTCTTGTCAGAAATATTTAAATCTAAATAACTAGAATTATGAGGTAATTTCACAAAACTAGCATAAGAATTTGATACTTTGAGGTGATTTATATTTGATGGCATCTGAGCTTTATACCACTGGTTGATATCAAACAAAAAAACGTAAGATTCAGGGCTAGCATCCACATTTCGACGAATTTCCATTAACATTGCAAATAATCTTATTTCACAATCTTCATCCATATCTAATCAATGTTAAAAATAAAAAACTAATTGTTTAAAATGATTATATTTTATTGTTTAAATATATTAGCATATAGTTTATTTAAGATGATCAGCATTAATTAGTTACTAAGATTTATTTACCAGTTTCATTTCTGAATAAATTCACATTACATAAAGTTAATGCAGATATGCATCGACCAATTCCAGATTCTCTTCTTAAAGACATTTCTAATTTTACACCATTTCCTTTATATACCTTTGTATAAACACAATATTTCATAAAAAATTATTTTAAATATAAATATTTAATTTTTTATAAATATTTAATTATTATTTAATTTAACTCACTCTATAAGACAAACAGCCATTTGACATCATAGTTCTTTGCTCATAAGTCAAAGCAATCATCATGGCATTCGGAAGTCTAGAATTATCTGATTGAATAACCCAAAGATAACATAGATTATTTGGATCATCTGATGGTTCAAGAAAAGTAATATGGGTTACTGGCATAACACATTTAGGCTCTTTTAACAAATATCTAAAAAATAATAATAATAAAAATCATTTGAGTTAATCATAACAAGTATTCAAAGAAACTTTGTAAGTTACATAATTTTATAAATAATATTATAAATGGGTGRCCAAATACTTACATTGTCCGCATTATTTTACAGTCCCAAAGTTGAAAGTGACCTGTAGAATATCCAATGGCTACAGTATTGATTTCTTCATTATATAATAAACTAGATATGCTAAAGTTTAGTTTGCCACGGTATTGTTTTTTACAATAGATACAGAAATTTTCTAAGATAAAATATTATGATTAATAAATGATGAATACATTTTCTAAATTTTATTTTACCATTTATGAATATTGCTAAATGACAATCACTATCATCACTCATTTCTTTAACTTCTTGGCAATCCTCGTTTCTTCTAATGATGAATAGTTTGCTTGGCTTAGATTCATTTACAACTATTTCGTTTCTTTGTAATTCTATGGAAAATAAGAATTTTATTTAATATAAAATATTGAAAATGTTATTTGGTCAACGCACGGTTCTCAATATAACGTTTTCTTAGGTCAACTGCAAAAACCGCTCCAGTTATCATTCCAATTAAGAGTACAGTGGACATAACTTTAAATTCATCACAAAGTTGATCTTGCACGAGTGATTCATTACTAATTGTAGAAATGTAGGATATCTGAATTAATAAATATAATATTTAAAATTGATTTTTTTCATTTATTGATATTTCTTAAGAGGACATAACACCCTTATTTGTTGTTCCATCAATAGGTCAATTGATTCGTTTATTAAAGCTTCATTTGTAAAACAGATACAACTCAGTGGGTAGTATGTCCTCTTAAAATAATTTAATAACTTAAAAGTTGGCATACTGGATTTGGCATTTGAATACAACGAATGGTCGTTAATGTTGGCAATTGACAAACAAACAATAAACCAATAGATTTACAAGAGCATCCGACTAACAAAATGTGTGGATTTTTACTGTTATGTAATTCTTGAACAAAAGTTATCTGGAATACAAAACAAAAATATCAAGTATTATTTTACAGTGCMTATAAATCATGAAAAGGTTTATAATACAAAAAAATATACATACAAATACAAATTAATTTTTAGACTTTTTAAATTWATATTGAAATTTATAAACTAAAAAAATACACAATATTTCTCTCAACTAGAAATAATGATAGGTATCATTGCATAGATTTGTTCATGCAAATCATAAATAAAAATCATAAATTATTTTTATGAACATATTTACCATTTATATTTGTATGTTAAATGTTATAGGCATCTAGATCAAAATAAATTAATAATATCCAACAAAACGTATAATTAATACCTAATATCTTTGTAGGTACCTAGTTAATAGATACCTTACTATTGTCAATATGATTATTTATGAAATAGTCAACATAGATTATCAAAATCAATTAGGTAATTTAAGTTAAGTTGAATTATTTACAAAATACATTTTAAACATAAACTGCAGTTAAAAATGTTAACTTGAAAACGTTTTAAAATATTATGTCAATAAATCACAAGTTATAACTGATTAATTATTAAAATATAGGTTGGTAGTAGGTACATTTCAAACCATAAATGTCTCCATAATTAGTTTCCTGAAACAGCAGTAACAACCGATGGTCCACAGAAAAATTTGAATGTKATTTGCAATATTATTTTATTAACCTTTCAGCCAAATATTTTTATCGGGTTTGATGAATTGCGTCCCCGAAAAAAAATTAGATAACAGATAGGTGAATATTGCGTCCCCCATATTTTTTCTGAATAGGTGAATTGCGTCCCCAATATTTTTTCCGTGTAGGTGAATTGCGTCCCCGACGCCTACTCTAACATACTTTTTGAAATGTTACACACAAAACATTTCATTCTAAGCGATATAACTGCAGAACCTTTATTTTATTTTATTTGTATTTATATCATTTATCGGAATATCCAAGAATCAAATAATATTTTATCTCACATGAGTGTTTCAGTATCAATACAATACGGGCGTTTAGAATCGGAAGTATATATTTTTTACATTTATATTCGACCGTTCGCGACAATAATTGCGATAACATATAATTACTATATAATATTTGTGATCTCAAATTTCCAAACATATACAGTTGACAAGCAGTCGTCTGTCAGTCCACAGTCATCAATCGTCAGTATGCAGTTTAATCAATTATTTTATTATTAATTTTAAATGGAGTTTTCAATAAGTGAAAAAAAAAAAAATTTTATAATTGAAGATTTAAAATTTCGATTCCAAAAACTATTAAGAAATGACATACAACGTTGGTGCTGCTGTATAAAATCTTGTAAGTGTTTTTTTAAATGTGAAAATAATTTTAATATAATTGAACAATTTAAAGAGCATAATCACCCAAAACCAGAACAAAAATGATTAAATCGACAAAATATTAGTAATTCTCTTAAGAGAAAAGCTATAGAAAATATTTCGTCAAAACCACCAAAACTTTTACAAGTAGAATTAAAAAATAATGACGTAGAAACAATAACGACTAGCGATATGGCACTAATCAAAAGAAATATTTGTTATGCACATACATATGTTCACCCAAAACTACCAAATAGTCTTTCCGAACTTCACGATTCTTTATGTATGTATGAAATAAAAACAAATAAACTGGACATTTTTTTATTAGTGAATGGCAAACCAAATGGCATAGTTGGTTTTTCAACGATATCAAATTTAGAGGTATTATGCAAAGTACAACATATTTATATTGATGGTACATTTAAATTGTGTCTAAAATTTTTTATGCAAGTTTTTACAATTCATGGACTTCATAATGATAATTACGTGCCTCTTATATATTTTTTAATACAAAACAAACWCACTGAAACGTATGTGCAATTATTTAAACATGTATTATATCATTGTGATACAAATGGTTTCCTGTTTTATCCTACATATGTCCACATAGATTTTGAATCCGCAATACATTCTGCTGTAAGACATGTATTACCTACAGCTCAAATTAAGGGATGTCGTTTTCATCTAAGGCAAAGTTGGTGGAGAAAAATACAGTCTCTTGGTTTGACAAAAGTTTTTAAAGATTATAATTCTGAAAAAATTCAATTTTTAAGTATTTATTYGGGTTGCCTTTCTTACGTTCAGATGAGGTAGAAGAATGCATTCAAAATGATTTGCAATCCATTTTACTTATTGAAGACGAACAAATTAATAAATTCATAGATTACATATTTAAAACTTACATTACAAAAGATGAAAGTTTTCCACCAAATTTCACCAACAATAAATCGGACAACCAACAGTTGTGAGGCATCCCACTCTAAATTAAATCTATTTAGATAGATATATCTATTTATCTCTAGTCATCCAAATATTTACAATTTTATTGATGTTATAAAAGATATTCAATCCAAAACATACCTAAAAATACGTAGTAATGGACAAAGAAAATCATTTTAAATTATCGAAAAAGAAAATTATATTCGAGAAAAATGATCGAATGTAATAATAAATTATTGACCAGATTTGAATATGTCAAAGTTGTTTCATTAAAATGTTTACCAGTTTAAGATACTTTTATAATAATTTTACTATTTTTTATATAAATAAACCTAGTATTAAAATATAACAGGGACGCAATTCACCTGGTTTTATAGAAATGGGACGCAATTCACCTAACGCCATTTTTATATATTAATTTGATGTAAGACTTATCAATGGAATGGTATGTATGTAAAAAGCTATTTTAAGCTTTTAGTGGTCCATAGATTTTTAGATCTATGATCTAAATTTAGAGTATGTTTTTAGTGGTCTGCGAAATTTAAGGTGACCGCTGCCCTACATTTATTACAAATAATAAAAAATACTGTAATATAAATTACTAAGGAACATATGAATAAAACAATTATTGTCGTCTAACGATTCTTTCCCTCCAATACTGATGTCACYTAGTTCCTAGGACTTTATTATTAGGCCCGCCTTACTAGTTATCTACCAGAATAAGGTAGGTAGATTTGGTGTAAGCAGACAATATCATCAGTTTTTGTAAAATAAATGCATACCAAGGTTTGAAGACCATATCATTGATATCTAATGAGTTTTTTCTTTTTCTATTTAGGTATACCGAAAAATCTTATATAATATACCATATCCAGCAAGAGAACAAACCCATTCCGTGTAACTTCAACTACAAGACTGATTTCAATGAGGCAAGGTTACTCCCCAATAATTACAGGTGATGGACAGAAGAACCGAATTTTTCCTGGAGTGTTCTCCCGCCGGATAAAGTATACGCATTTGCTTAACCACAATGAGAACAACCGATGTGGGTGCACAACTTACCGTCAACGATTTATCCTTTTGATTGGTGGCGAACGACCGGGACGACACAACAGACCCAAGCTGTTTTGAATAAAGTATGATATTGGCTCCGGCGGCAAACCACGCAAATTCGCCGTTGGAAATCAGACCACCAGACTTGTCGCAATCGGATTCCAGCAACTGATTGGATATGTGGTGCGAGCCGATGACCTGCATCACTTGTTTCACGGCGGACATGATGACGTTCGCGATTAGAAACGTATACTCTCACGATGCTTGCGCACACAGTACGCGGTTACCCAAGCCAGCTGGAAAGGCTGGACTCGATAGAAACCGAAAACGCACTCTCTCAAGCACTAAGAACACCGAACGTACATTGATGGTGTAGTTTTGTAAAGATGCCGTTCGACGACATCACGATAACCCGGATAACCTCATGATTTTCCAGAATTGAGCAAAAAAATTTTTTCTAACCGTTTATCGTACAGAGTACTACTGACAATTGACATGCAATGTTCCACTATCACACAGACACAATAGCCTATTGCCGATTGCCCTACAATGTGCATCGTGCATGGCGGGCGATCGTTCCATTCCACTCCCCACTACAAACTTCGACCACAGGTCACGTGGTTGTGCTGCTGCAGTTGTTCGACAAACGGTGCTATAAGTTATAACGGCAGAATGTTGGCGACGCGTAGATAAGACGACGAAACCACGAAACATGGGCTAGCCCAGGGGTCTCCAACCTTTTTTTACGGCGGGCCAAATTTGATATACGCTTTGCATCGCGGGCCAACATTTTTAGAAATGTGTGATTTTGACGAGTTTATCTATTATTAGTTAGTATTAGTGTATATGTATAACTATTATAGTTTGTTATGAATAATACCTACCAAAAGAAAATATTATAAATTCATTTTATTTTATGAATCAATTCAATAAAAAATAATATATTATTTTCAAAACATTAATTAGCTTGGCGGGCCGGTGCAAAATGCTTGGCGGGCCGGAACCTAGCTAGCCGCTAGCCTATAAGACGCGTCGTGTTTGGCGTTTGGCGTTTGCCTATGGGCAGTCTGTAGTTGTAGCAGGCTGGTTAGATCTAATGTTATATCGGACAACTTGCCGAAACAGGCGCAGCCGCGCAGGAGTCCGGGAATATTGATAAACAAACAGTGATCAGCAACTGCCAACTATAATATAGTCATAGGCCATAGGCCATGACAAAATCACCATGAAAATCTATTTTGTCATGAAAATCACAAAATAAACCTATAAGAGGGTTAGGGCCAGTTGTACCGCCTCTGATTAAAGTTAACCGTAGTTTAATCGGCCGAATTTGCACGGTTAAATATCTGTTATCAGCTGATTAAGCGTAATCGAAGTTTAACCGTAGACAGTACAACTGGCCCTTAACGTTACAGACAAAATCATGATGGACAGATGGAATAATGATCCACATGGCACTCATTACTTGAGTTATTAACACGATTTTAGATATATTAAAGCATATCTTTAATTGTAGTTATTAATCATATTTGATATGGTAGGCCAGTTTTTATATCAGCTTTACAAATAAAAAATATGTTATATTGATGGAYAATACATCGTTGATTGTTTTCTACACATTAAATTATCTGTAATTGTCCAGTYTGTCCATGGTAGTTTGGCATTGGCACCATCACTCAGATTTTTAGTAATACGTATCATACGTATCTAGTTTAATTTACCTTTTTTTTTTTTTTCCAGTTTGAACCGACGACGCCGCGGGAACTGCTTTCGCATTGTTTCCGCGACGTCGTCATAAAGTTTAATTTASTTACTCATAGCAGTCATAACCACGGTGACTTGATGTAAAGGAGATTTTATGTTGATATATGTACATCACAAACTATTTTGACATGGGTATCTAGATAATATCTTCTGTATGACTGTAYTTCATCGTGCTTTTAACACTATAAATTATAATGCTTACATCCTAAAAAGTTATAAATTTATAGTAGGAAACTAGTAGTGTAGTAGTGAATTAACGTAGTCTAGGTAGTATACTAGTATGTGTTCTGTGGTTATGTTCTGTTTTGTTTATTATATATCTAGTGTTCGGCAGCAATTTCTACGTTTGCAAATATTATGAGACCCTATGATTTAACCAAATCATATTTTTGATTAAAATATTACATTTTATTAATGATTTAATAATTTTTTACGCTTGAAGCTAAAAAATAATGTAATAAATATGATTTTTATTTTATTTTTATGATATTAAGAAATAAAGACAGTCACATGTAAAGTCATCTTGAATTTCTGACCTATATTAATAAGAGTAGAGAGTACCTATATATAGTTCTAGAAATTCATCTTTAGTCATTACAAATGATAAATCCCAAAAAAATTCATCATTGTATGTAGTTACCTATGGATTTGACGACACAATACTTCCTTCATGTAATACAATATTAAAACAAAACCTTATGAAGGTAGACATAAGCATACCTAGACATTACTGRCAGTATAGTCATACATAACATATTATTAACACACACTTATGTTAATATGAATACCTATATTTTTATTTGYTACTTACGGAGGTAGATTTAAAAAATGTGAGTAGTGTACCTAATAGTGTGTATAGAGGCCAGTATTTGAATTAAAATTATGTATAACCAGCCATTAAATCAGATATAACAGCATTTCAGCACTCGGCATAAATATTTTGGAAGTAGTTACCTTTAACAGTAAAATTTGTTTGTTAAAAATTAGACATAAAATTGCTGTTGTAAAGATGGCATTCACACTCAAAAAATATATATAATTCTGAATCTTAAAGACCCGAAAGGACTTCCAAAAGCTACTCTAAGAATAATAAGCTTCAATATGTTTGTTAACTCATCAAAATAAGAATARTATTCTGTCTAAAACCATTTTATTAACTGGTTTTAATGAACATTTTTAGGCAAAACTTAGTGCTTAGTACCTATGACTGTTCAATTTCATTGGTAACATAAGAGAAAAATGGATAAATAATTTTACAGAAGCATTAGTTCTTAAAGGCCAACAATGTCCAAACTTCTATAATACAAAAATTATAATTGTTAGATAAAACCTAAAAACTTTTTTTACAAAACAAATCCTACGTCTTAGAATACTTCTAAAAAATATTATTTATTCAACTTAGTTAGGTACATTTTATATTCGTGTAAAATGTAATTTATTGTCATCTTATAATTTAAGTTTCTTTGAGAAGGTGATCCATAATACTGCATAGGTAGACGAAAAATATTTCATCACTAGTTATGATCACAACTAATATTATACACATAATAACCCGACTTTTTTGACTTTATATTAATGGTTTATAAGTAACAATATSTTTTAAAAATAAATCAATAATAATGTTTTAATTTAGCACTTTTTTCAAAAACCAGAACTACTTTTTATAACTATTTTTGGTRTAGTATATTCTTCATTTAAATATTTATATTTATTTAAAATAATAACACCCTCTATAGCATGCAGACTTTTAATTATTAAGTATAATAAATTAGAGTTTAATTCTGTATGCATTTTTAACCATAGTCTAGTTTTTATCTATTAAATATAAATATTTCAAAATTAAAAGCTTGTGTATGATTTATAATTGTAGGATATGGGATCATCAATTAATTCTTAGGCAAAATGGTAATTTTAACTTATGTTAATTTGACTTAATTTATTATTAAAATTATTAACCTAATTAGAAATATACTTTTAATCAGTGCGAAACAAACATGGCCTTTGAGAAGCAATCGTTTCTTAATTATTTTAATAATTAAAGGTGTTTGGGTGGGTGCTCAGTATAAAAATGAAAAAACAAATACTAAATAATAATATTATATTAGGGAAATAGTAATAGCAATGCTAATAGTAATAGTTCATGTGTTTATTATGAATCGTTGGTTGGTGGGTGGTGGGTCAATTTTAAGTTGCTACTGGACTATTTTAGGTTCATTTCACAACTGCTTTTAATTATTTAATAAATTCATTAGTATTATCTTATGCTGCATGTTTAATTTCAGAATAAATCTACCTTACATCCTGATATTTGAACTTTGAAGGTACCATTTATGGAATGTAATTGAGCATCTTTAAAATAATATATACCTACATTTTAAACAAAATAGTATTAAAAATTTAATCTATGCGTACTCCTTAATATAGGTACCTAAGTTAAACGGACAGATTAAAATAWTAATAAAAAAAAYACTCATCAATCTACTTTATATTAACTGTATGACTTCATTATTATTATATAACCTACCTTCTTATAACTTCAAAAATATATACAATATAATTTATTGAAACGACTTAACTCATATAACTTTTTACACATGTCAAACAATAATTATAAATAGCACATTTTTATGAATTTTTTTGAAAATTGTCAATTAAAATATTTAATAAACATGATATATATAATTTTTGTATTGACTACTACATATTATTTTACATAAAAATGCTGCATAATTAACCATAATCTAAATTAATATAATAAAGCTGAAGAGTTAAAAAAAGTTTGAACGCGTTAATCTYAGGAAATACKGGTTTGAATTTAAAAATTATTTTTCTTGGATTGTCTTTTTATGGAAGTAGGCTAGAGGCTATAAAACATTTTTAGAAAGTTCACAGGTTAAGTTGAAACTTAAGAATTAATAAGAAATTTATGAATTTACTTTAAAAAACTATAAAATTATTGACTCATATCAAAATTCTAAGACGTAATGGAACTTCAGTTGTACTAATGTACTGAGTGTCTCATATCCTAACCAGTTTCGATGGTCTAAACTTTTTTTACTGTTTTCAAAAAAAAAAAAAAGCGGGTAAGTCGTGGATGTCGCTCTGCTGTACAGTAGGTTACTGTAATGGATGGGATTAAATTTGAATGTAATGATAGATATCATTG